CATGGTCTTTATCTGTAAGTGTTTGAAAACTGCTATGTGAAAGAATATTTAGATTCATGTGCATTGGAAGTGGGCAAGATAGAGTTTGAAAAGAACAGGGTAGTAGAATTTAGCTCCATAACTTTTCAAAATTTTATTGTTGTTTAGTCATTTTCCAGTCATATCTGACTCTTCATGACCCCATTTGGGGTTTTCTTGGCAAAGATACTGGAATGACTTGCTATTAACTTCTCATTAACTTGCCATTTCCTTCTCCGGCTCATTTTACACACGAGGAAACTGAGGCAAACAGGATTAAGTAACTTGTTCAAGGTCACACAGCCAGATTGAGCTAAGAAAGAATCTTTCTGCCTTCAGGCTCAGCACTCTATCCAAGATGCCACCTAGCTGCCTTTTTCAAAAATTAGAGCTATCCAAAAATTTGAAAGATATACCTTTCAAGTTTCTCTGCTTCCTATCAAGAGGACGTCTAGCATGAGGTGAATAACCACCTATCAGGAATGTTGAAGAACGGATTCTTGTTTAGAGTGAGAGATTGTATGGATTCTGAGGTCTCTGCTACATCTTTGGTTCTGTAAGTCTCTGCAAGTTGTATTAAACAATTCTGGGACTGCATCTTTAAAAGTAAGAAATATTTTGGAGTTGGTTTCAATTAATAGATAATTTTTTAAAAAAAGTTTTCTCTGTTTTCACATATGGTAAGGCCAAATATCTTTTTTTTGGGGGGGGGGTTCAAGTTTTATTCAAGATCATATACAAAATGTTTCCAGACCCAAGAGAGTATAATCCTCCTCCTCTTCCTCCTCTTCGTCTTGGTTGCTCTGGAAGTCCCATAATTCATAACTCTCCTTGCTGTTGGCCACCACCTGCAGCCAGTCCCAAAGATTGTTCTTCTTTAAGTATTTCTTTGTCAGGTACTTCAAATATCTTTTAGAAAATGGCACCTCTGACATCATGGTTATCTTACTCTTGCTTCTCCCAATGGTTACGACTCCACCAGCGAGTTTGCCAGCCTTTCCATTCACTTTGATTCATTCTTGTAAAAACTGCTCAAAATTAGCTGCATCCATAATCCCATCTTCCACAGGATAGATACAATCCAGGGTAAACTTAAGGACTTGCTTCTTTTTTTTGCCACCCTTTATTACAGATTTCTTCACAGGCGCCATGGCGATTGCGGAGCCAGAAAGCAAGGCCAAACATCTTAATCACTGCGCTCTATTTATTTTTATATTCCCCATTCCTAGTCCCTTGGCTTTTGGAGGTCCATGTCTAGACCTCTGTTCTTTTTTCAAACTGGGTGCCATTGGAAATATAGATGAGGAAAGTTGTGATTATTTGCCACAGTTTTCCCTTGAGGGTGGAAGAGCTGCTGATGAAGGCATCATCGTTAAGTGGGCAATACTTTGATAGAAACAGCATCCGAAAAGTATAATTCTCTGGATATCATTTTGAGGTACCTGCAATTTTAAAGGCTATTTTAGTCTTTGTCCATCTCTTCTTACCAAGACCATTTTTCTTCCTCCCAAGAAGAGTAATAAATGGTATATTAAGCTGAAAAAACCAACAATCCAGTTAAGAAATTGTAATAGAGTGTGAGGCTGGAAATTGCAATGTTAACACCTACAGTCTCACTGACATCACTTACTCTTTTTTCCCCCCAATGTTATTAAGGAGTCAAGTGAGCACGGAATGTGTAGTCTGTGATAAAAGCCAGAGGAATTATTATCAGGTACATAGCTCAAGCAAGTCCTTTTGCTCTTCTGTGAAAGGAGCAGACCCTCTGTGGCTGACATGTCAGCAGACAGCCAGTGTCAGGTTCTAGACCTGAAATGAAAAGAAAAACTGAGGCTTGTACAAAGAAAAAAATAACACTTCATTGAATTGTTGACTATTGTTAAGAGCTTAGGCGATAAGTCAAAACAGTCTGAAAACAGAGTTTGAAGTTACGGAAAATTGAATGGAATTTGTAAAGTGCTTTGTGTCTGACTTAAGGCTAAAAGAAGATGTTATCTAGGGAAATACAGACATCCCAAAATGATAGAACAAATAGAACTATAGAGAACAGAGTTTTAGAATGAAACTTTCATAGCCTGAGTTCTTATAAAAATTCTTATTAATTCTTTTAAATATATGTGTGGGTGTGTATGTGTGTGCATATGTATACCCATATACATATGCTAGATAGATAGATAGATGTATGAATGTTAAAGTTTCCTTAAACATTGAGGAAATTTTTTTGTGTTTTTCAGAATCCAAAAAGATAATACCTGAGATTATTTTTGTATTTGTTTTAGAAAAAATTGACCTCATCAGACATTAGGACAAACTTCTTAATTGCAAAGGGACAAAGCAAAAATCATTATCAAGAGGTATTATATAATCACGTTTAGTTCTTTTTCAGTCATGTCCAACTCTTCATGACCCCATTTAGGTATGTTTTTTTTTTTTTGGCAATGATTACTGGAGTGATTTGCCTTTTCCTTCTCCAGCTCCTTTTATAGATGAGGAAACTGAGGCAAACAGGGTTAAGTGACTTGCCCAGGTTCAGTAAGCTAGTGAGTGTCTGAAGCCAGATTTGACTTCAGGAAGATAAGACTTCTGACTCTAGGCCAAGCCTTCTATCCACCACACTACCTAGCAACTCATTAACATAATTGTGGAATCTTAGATTTATGAGCTGGTCTGGTCCAGCTCACTCATTTTATAAATTAGTGAACTGAGACTTGCTGAGGTTAAATGACTTGCCTAAGGCCATATTGGTAAGACATAGACAAAGTAACAGAGAGGAAGGAAGGGAGGGAGGGAAAGAAAGAGACAGAGAGGGAGGAAAGGAGAGGGGGAAAGAAGGAGGGAGGGGGAAGGATAGTTCACTAAGCACTGATCATGTTCCAGGCATTGTGCTAAGAGTTAGGGATAGGATAACAAGAAAATAAGAAGGTCCATACTTTCAAAGTAGCTAGTAAGTGTCTGAAGCCAGATTTGAATTCAGGAAAATAAGACTTCTAACTATTAGTATGATAAAATATCTAATAGTACAATAAAATTGCAATAGAGGAATACATCACGCAAAGGTGAAGCAGAAAGGAGAGTTGGACTTATACCTGCGGAGGTAAGACAGCCAGTGTAGAAAGTGATCATGGAGGGAAGTGAACAACATGGCTCTGACTTCTGATGATATAGGGGTCCCACATAAGGCCTCAGCACTCATCCAGATAGCCTTAGCCTGGAGTCATCCTTGGGGAAAGGGAGTGAACATAATCATTTTTGTGCCGTGGACCTCTTTGGCAGTCTGGTGTAACTTAAGGACCCATTCTCAGAATAACATTTCTAAACTGCTTAAGACACACAGGATTACAAAGGAAACAAATTATACTGAAATACAGTCATCAAAATATTTTTAAAAGTTCATGGACTCCTAGGTTAAGCATTACTGATCTAGATCTAGAAAAGACCTTAGAGAACAGTTCAACTTTTTCATTTTATCAGTGAGTGAATTGGGGCACAATGACAGTAATTGACATTCCCAAAGTCATACAAATAGTAGATGACAGAGCCTGTATTAGAACTTAGGTTCTATGACTCCAAGTTTAGTGCTCTTTCCACTGAACTGTACTGCCTAGTTTCTTTTTATTAAAAAAAAATAAGAAAAGAAGTGGATATTACTCTTTGGAATCAACCAATCAGTCAATATTTATTAAGAACCTATTTGGGAGCTCAGCTCTGTCCTAGGTACTTGGGGGGATACTAATAATAACAACTCATATTTATATATGGGCCTGGATAGTTAGACTTACAAAAGATTTTACTAACTACTCTGAGAGTTAAGTATACGTATATCTATATCTATCTATCTATCTATCTATCTATCTATCATCTATCTATCTATCTATATATATATATGGAACTATTTGGTGTTTAAGTTTAGAATTTTTTACTGTATTTGATATGGGACAAAACTAACACAAATCAAATGATTGCAGACCCATTAAGTGTTAACTCTTCAGTCCTAGGTCCAATAGGATCATTGGATAATAGAATTCAATTGCTCCAGGAAGAAAACTTACAGAACATCTAATTTGATCCTTTCATTTTACAGATGTGGAAAGTGAAGTCCAGTTTCCTGTGTTGAATGAGTTGCACAAGGTCAAATAGGTAGTAAATATCACAAGTGAGATTAAACCCACCACCATGCTGCATCTAGTTAAGAGAGAGAGAGATAGATCACTGAGGGCTAGAATAACTAGGGAAGGCCTCATCAGTTCCTGGAGGAGGCATATCTTCAGCTGGGCCTTGGAGGATGGATAGAGTTTGGATACTTTGTGGAGAAAGGAAGGCCTTCTATGAGGAAGGACTAGCATTAGGTATGGTGGAATGCTAAATGTGTTGACCCCAACAGGGAGGAGACCAACCTGACTAGAGTAGAGTTGGAGAATGGAAATAAAACCGGGTAGGTATTGAGTATAGCATTATGTAGAGACAGAGATTGGTTTCAATGTCTCTTCCAAATCTATGGAACACAGTAGTAGAACATACTGATTATTATTGGATATATTAATTTTCATTGTTACAGACTAATTTTCACTGGAGGAAACTCATTTTCATTGGTTTTCTAAATTATGAAAATACCCTGCTTTTAATATTCCTAAGGAAGAAAGTATACACATGTAATAGATTGGAATCAAATTACATGTACAACTGTCCATTTTTTAAAAGAGAAAAATTGCAAATAATGCTTTCATAGATTGATATTTAAGTGGCACAGCACATAACTCAAACTCAGTGGTCTTTTGCACCTCCTTATCCACTAACAGAGACAAAAGTACTTCATAGGACCTGAATAATATAATTAGATAATTACCTACTTTCTCATTTTTACTTTAGTTTTCAAATTACCTTCCCCTATTTGAAAAAAAATTGCCCACAACTAAAAAATTATTCTTTTGTGGTTTGTGAATCATTGGGGGTTAGGTCTACTGATACATTTATTTATTTTTCAGGATGGATTGCGATTCTGGGGGCTATCTGGTTACTAGTGTTAGCTGATATCCATGACTTTGAGATAATACTACATAGAGTGGAATGGGCCACCCTTCTGTTCTTTGCGGCACTATTTGTCCTAATGGAGGTAAGAATTCAGAAAAGCTCTACTGACTTATTTAATCATTTTTTTGCCTTTTACATTTCATATTATAGCTAAAGAGGATCAACTGACTTTACCATGGCATATTGCAAATACCAGCTGACCTAAGAATTACATGGACATTTCATTCACTCACTCACTCATTCATTCTTTATTCATCTGTCTAGCATTTATTTATATCCTGACGCATATAGCAGACACTTAATAGATACTTGTTAATTGATCAATTAATTATCAAGGACTGACAATATGCAAGACACTTGGCTGGGAATGGATTTTTTTTTTAAAATCAAAAACAGTTTTCTGCAGAGGTACTCTGATAACTGAGCCCAAAGTGGTAATGTTGGCATGCTTTTGATGCCCTGAAACTTGCTGTCATGTTATCTGCTATAGTGTGAAGTATCAGATAAATCTGGACCATAAAAAAAATCAAATACAAATGTTTCTGTGCTTTATTTTGCATAGTAAATGGGCATGCTTGATGTCAGCATGCAAAAGGATTCCATTAGGAAAATGACTGAAGAACTTAGAATGTTTCTCTTTGCAATTTAAAACAGGCTGAAAATTCATCACTGATATGTAAGATATCCATCATTAGGTTATCTGCAGGGTAGGATGTTTTTCAGCCACAGAAGCTCCAGTAGGCTGTCCACTTAAGCCCAAAGACATCTGCTCTGTGTTGGTGGAGAGAGTGTCCTCACCAACAATTTCCTATATCCTTTAAATATTAAAATATATGTATATATATATATATATATACACACACATATACATATATATACACATACACATATATATGTACACACACGCACATATATATATATGTTTTGTTATGTTTGCTTTCACTTTTGAAACAGTTCCAGAAAGCATTCTCTTCCTCTGAGAGCAAGCACAAAGCTAAAAATGATCACAATAACCCCAAAACTTCACTAAGAATGCAATAAAAAAGAAAAAAAAAATTCCAAAGGTACTACTCTGATTTTCTGATCAATTCAGTTTCATTTTTCCATGGAGGTCAGGCTGAAATTTCTTTTTAAAGTACTCCAATTATGAAACTGAAGGCTGCAAAATCATAATGACCAGCACAGCTCCAAAGTAGAAATATAAGAAAATGTCTTTCTCTTTCTCCTCCTCCTTGCAGAGGCTGGGGGCACACAATTGTAGAATATGGACTATAATGTCAGATGTTTTCTATATATTGATTGGTTTTGCTAGGTGGCACATTGGCTAGTGCACTGGGCCTGGAGGCAGGAAGACCTAAATTCAAATCCAGCCTCAGATACTTTCTAATTGTGTGACCCTGAGCAAATCACTTAACTTCTGTCTGCTTCAGTTTTATCTACTATAAAATAGAGATAATAATAGCACTTACCTCATAGGGTTGTTGTGAAGATCAAATGAGATATTTGTAAAGCACTTAGCACAATGCCTGGCACATAGTAGATGCTTAATAAATATTGCTCCCTTCTCTTCTTTTTTCTCTTTAAAAAAAATCTGTTATAAGAGATAGTTCTCTGGGAGGGGAAGAGGAGAGGGATACAAGGGGAAATATATGCAATGTACAAATTAAGATATAAATTAAATCTAATTTAAGAAGGAAAAAAATAATGATCCTATTTGATCTCAAAGAAGAGATATAAGAAGGCACCTCCCTTCTTTCTTTGCTGAGGGAGCTCCCTAAATGAAGGAAATTCAGGAGAAATTGGAAGGGTGAATCCAGTGGCAAATAGTATGAACTTAAAATTTCTGTAGATCTCCCACAGTCTTTGAGAGATGGGGAACTATGGTTGTACAACACCATATATACAATAATATTGACTCAGTTGATGTGTTGGTTAATTTTTCTGACCAAATTGCTTTTTTTTAGTTCTTTGCTATAAGGATAGCTCTCTTAGAAGAGCAGGATAGAGGGATAAACTGAGAAATATAGTTGATATAAACTAGACATTAATATTTTGTCATATAATAGATACATTGATGAAGTTATATTTCTATTGCTAATAATGCAATTGATAATATTTATATTATCTTAAAAGTACTTCGACTATTTTTACATTTTATTCCTTATATTAAAAACAAGTTCCTTTAATACCTAAAGTTATGTTTGCATTTGCATTATGGCATATTGAACCAATAAAATCCCTGATATCGATCCCTTCAAGCCCATTTATTCCAACTTTTAGGATAGTTTTGTTTCATAGTGCTTGAAAAATAGTAGGCACTTGTTTTTGTTGTTCAGTCATTTCAGTCATATCCAACTCTTTGTGACCCTATTTTCTGTTTTCTCGGCAAAGAGTGGTTTGCCATTTTCTTCTCTGGCTCATTTTACAGATGAGGAAACTGAGGCAAACAAGGTCAAGTGTCTTGCCCTGGGTCACATAGTTAGTAAATGTCTGAGGCTAGATTTGAACTCAGGTCTTCCTGACTCCAGGTCCAGTGCTCTATGGCTGTAAGTACTTAATATATGTTTTATTGACTAATTGAAGCATTGGGAAGCAGGACATTGTAGGAACATATTGGGAAAAGAAAGAAAGGAAGAATGGAAGGAAGGAAGAAAGAAAAAAGAAATAAAGGAATGAAGGAGAGAAGAAAGGAAGGAAGGAAAGAAGGAAGGAAGGAAGGAAGGGAGTGTGCTAAGATCTGGAGACACAAATACAAGCAAGGAGAATGAGAGTACAGGACTTGTTAATTGAATCATTTCCTTGATTCTCTTTCTTTCCATATCCACTTTTCCCACTATTCCATCCAAAGACTTTCCTCCTATTTTATACACACAATGCAAAGAGAAGAATGATGGTACTTCTGGTAATTTACTCTAGACAAACTGCTTTGCTTCTATCAACTGGGTAATTCAGACTCACTCTGTATTTAGGCCCACGTTATTGGGAAAGCAACTTCAGCTTTGTACTTCATTTTATGGGTGAGCATAGCAATAGAAAGTAATCAAGACCTGAAATACTAAATTTTGTGAATGGGATGGGAGAATTGTATTTCCTCTAGAACTATATATCATGTCATCATCGTTGTTGTCATCATCTTCTTCTTCTTCTTCTCCTCCTCCTCCTCTTCTATATTGAAATTGAAGGTTGTAGGTACTTTTCTCTCTTTTTTTTTTTTGCATCTTTCATTTATGCTACTTTACTTTGGAAATGAAATTAGCATCAGTGGCAGCATGGTGCAATGGAAAGACCACTGAATTTGGAGGCAAAGAAACTGGGCTTCAGTTTCTTCACCTTTAAAATTAAAGGATTGGACTACATGACCGCTAAGGTTCTTTCTAGCTCTATTTAGAGCTACTAAAAGTACCTTCTGTTAGTCAGAAGGAACAATATTTAGTAACCATACTTCAAACAACTGACAAGCTGCTTGTTCAGTCATTTGAATCATGTACAACTCTTTGTGACCCCATTTGGAGTTTTCTTGACAAAGAGTGGTTTGCCATTTCCTTCTCCAGCTCATTTTCCAGATGAGGAAACTGATGCCAACAGGGTTAGGTGACTTGCCCCGGTTGACACAGGTAGTAAGTGTCTGGGGTCAGATTTGAACTCAGATCTTCCTGACTCCAGGACTAGTGCTCTAAATACCCTGCTATTTAGACCATTGCCATATTTGTTTTCCATTGGTATCTGGTACCTAACACATTCTAATATAAAAATGATCATCACAGTAATAACATTGCTTTGAGCCATACTAAGTTATTTCTTTTTCTTCCCACTTGTTTAGATTTTTAATTTATTTGTAGACCAGAGTCTATGCCTTCTAATGGCATAGATTTTAAATAATTTTCTTTGTTTTGATTCTTTAAATCTTTCTTTGTAACTCTTGCCACTAATCTCCTCTTGTCTTCCTCTCTTTTATTTACATCTCCTTGCCTAATTAGATGGTCCAACTAGGGCAGAATGTTCTAGCTGCAGTCATATTGTGAGAAGCCTCTTTGCCCCAGCTTTGTCTCAGCATATAGCCTTGTCCTGTAAGCAGTTTCCTGGTGATATGTACTGGGTAGTTTTCAGTTGGAAAGTACTAAATTTGGAGAATTTGTCAAGCTGTTTCCTTTATCCTCTACATCCTGACAATGCATATTGGCAGCAAAGACTGTCCCCTTGAGACAGGCATGTGGGTGTTTAATGGAGTATACAACTTTCCTCTTAACTCCCCTGCAACCTCACACATATTATACGGCAGAGGGGGCTGGCAAACATACTGGGTGATTGTACCTAGAGAGCACAGTATGGTTAAGAACAGAGCTTGTTAAGGGAGTCATTGTCCCCCCCAAACCCTGTGAAGTTCTCTGTGCCTAGACTTAAAACCCCGTGAAGCATGTAGCACCACCCAGCACATATGACTTTACTGAAAACATGAACTGTTGGAGCTCACATGCAAGAGATAGGCATTCAGGAGCACCAAACTCTTGTAGCCACACCATTCCAAAATGAAGACCTGGCTTTCTCCCTCTCACTTCTCCATAGATAATGAACCTTACTAGCCAAAGAGGAAGCCAGAAGGCCAATTCAATTCAACAGTTTTTAAGTGTACAGTATATGCACTGCTCTAGAGTAAGAGAATACAAAGTAAAACAGCAACAACAACAAAAACAAACAAAAAACAACTTGTCTCTGCCTTCAGAGAGCTTATATTCTATTGGACAGATTCAACACATAAGTGAATTCACAGATAAATTGATTGAAAATATACACAAAGTGATATAAAGTAATTTTGCTAACAATTTTGACTGAAACAAGCACAGTAAGCCTGGAAAAGCAGGTGGGATCTGGATTGTGAAGGACTTTAAATATGGGGCTGAGGAATGGGTATGTTATCCCACAGACAATAGGGAAGCAATTGAGATTTGTGAGTGATTGACAATCTCAGTCCTATTTTTATCTATTTCAATCCAGAAGTTTTGGGATTCTCTGTTTCTGTCTTTTGCCCACTGGCAGCCACTGAGTTAGTCAACAAGCATTTATTAAGAGCTTACTATGTGCCTG